AAAAAAAAAAAAAAGAAAAGAAAAGAAAAGAAAAAAATAAGAATAATCAATCGATCAATCGTAAGTTACAACTTACTACGTGACGCGAGACTAAGGGCATATTATTATACTCCAACTCTCGAAACGAAGATAATCCGAAGAAAGCAGCGCTGATTACAGTGACAAGTGAATCGCGAATCTCGTCTCAAACTAGGCAACAATGAGCAAACAATTTGAGAGCATCGCGAGCACGAGATTACGCGCGACTGCGGGGGTTCGATGACTTTGATTAGCGATTCGAGAGTACACAAGAGCGTATCGATTGTTATATCGATACGTTTGGGAGGTGGGAAACAAGCGGGGAAATGGAAAGAGAGAGAAAAGAAAAAAAAAAAAAGAATAGAAAGAAAACGTTGGATCGAATCTCTTCGGACGGAAAAATCTCTCGTTATTCTCACTTACGAGATACTCATCGTTACAGACGAAATAGGCTCTGTTCAGAACGAAAGCCGGCATGAAAATTGGATGAAAGATCGTTTCGAAGTTGTCCTGAAAAGCCGAAATTGTTCCCGGGGGATCGGCCGATTAAGTCACGGACGAGGCATTCCTCGAGTACGGGAAAGATTTACGGGTCACCGTCGGCCTGTCGCACATTTTCCCTCCCCCTCCCCCCTCCCGCACTCGATCGAAACGAGTTCGATCGTCCAGTCTCCCTCGTCCTCTCCTCCCAAAACTCGAATAATCACCGATTTTAATTCATCGAATTGCGAAAAATTGTTGGAATTATGTGTCGCCAACTATCGCCTTAAGTTCCGTAATCAGCTCACAGTTTTGCCTCTTGGCAAACAATGAATATCGGATATTTCTGGCGACGAGGGTTTTACCGCAAACTGTCCATTACGTTTTTTTTTATTGTTTTTCCGCTTTAACGATTGTCAGGGTCTATTTGTTACATCACGAGATCGAGTTTAATCGAAATAATACGCGGACCCAAGGATTTCCTCACAGAGATTTAATTCTGTCGTTTGCAGAATTTAAAGTAAAATTTCACAGTTTGGCCGTTAATTATATTGCAACCTTCGCGCGAGTCATCCGCCATCCGTTACTATTGTTTTCCTTCCACTTTGGCGAGTGCCAGGATCCATTCGTTAAACCGAGAGTCAACAGATGAGTCAAAACGACTCGCAGACGGATTACCAAAAAAAGACCTCCGCGTCTACGATTTCTGCTTCGCCCTCCCCTTTCAATTCTTACGAAGAAACGTCTTCCGAACGTTCCCTTCGTATCATCCGTTCGTTCCCCGAATATTCTTCTTCGTTCACCATCCTCCCACCTATCCCGATACGAACTCAACTTTTTCTATATAAAAACTTTATATACCCGTTCTACGACGATACACCTTCTTTCTTAAAAAACTTAACTCGTTAATTCCCCGATTGAGAAGGTGCACGCGAATTTGCAGACGAACGACAACTGAACGACGCCGTTTTCCCTTCCCTTCCTTTCAATCTCGAGCCGCGATATTTGTTGAAATTTGGCAACGGTCAAAATCCTTATTTTTAGCGGTGCCCACCATCGGTCAACGACGATCCACTCCATTGTCTGTCATCGATTAAAAAAACGAAAACGACCCCGTTCGCCCGATTTCCCTTGCAAAAACCTCGCAAACGCGTTGAGAAATTATACACCGAACGAATTATTATCGATCGAAAACCCGGGTCCCCCCCCCCCCCTCCCGCCCCCTCCCTCGAGCGAAGAACGCGCATTTCGCAATCGTCGAATACCGCACTCGAACACGTCTCTATCCGTCGTGTTTATCGAACGCGGAGAGCTTTGGAAACCTCTTTGGACCGCGAAAACCGGACAGAAATAACCGGCAAATTCGCTATTCGGTTTACTACGAATTCTACGATTACGTGTAGTGGTCGTTACTACTCGGACGCACGCGTTATTGCACATCGTCGATCCGCCGGATAACGTACGCACGAGCCAACGCTCGAGCAGCTTTTTCGAGTGAGAGCAAGGGTGTTTTTCGAGTTGAGCAAGGGAAGGAAGGGTGTGTAACGAGAATTCAGACCGATTCTTTTAGATTCTCTTGGAATATATTGGAGGAGTCTCTTTTTTCTTTTTTCTTTTTTTTTTATTTTCCACAGAAGATAGACAGAGGTGTACGCGAAATAGGGGGAGAATTGAAATATAGTAGCGGAGATCCGAAGCTGGATTCGACGTCGACGACGATCACTGGGCAGTCGGCCCAATTTTATTAATTGATCGTAATCAATTTACGATTAACGGCCTGATTTCTGGATATAAACAGCAGGTGGGAACGATGGAAAGGTAGGGAAGTTGAAGCGACGTATTTTTCGTTGTTATCACCGCTTTCTTACCGATCGGATTTCACTTCATCTTTCTCTTCCTTTTTTTTTTTTAGGGTCATGGCACCTGTTCGCGTTTGTTGCTAAATTATCTTTGAACCGCCTTGGAGCGTGTCGCCGTGTAATTTTAGAATCTAATTTTGAGACGCGCAATTACAATTTACTCTAATTCTTATTTTTAGATCTCTATCTATGCGTTCCACGCGCGTTCGTTCCTCGCGTTTCGCGATTCATCGCGCGAATTTTTTTCCCTTTGTCGGGGAATTAATATAATTAATATAACAGAAACTAAACTCGACAATTCTCGAAAGTAACCGCTCCGAGACGAAGTAGATAAACGCCCCCGCTTGCATTTCCTATGTGACACATTTCCAAAGCACGCGCTCGATATTCCTCCTGTCTGACGAACGACATTACAAACTCGTCGATTAAAATGATTTTTAAATTTTATTTCTAAAACCGACTTTAAAATTAACTTAATTAATTCTATCCTGATTCGTAGAATTAAAATTCAAATTCAAATTCGTAATAAAAAATATTCGTAAAAAAAAACTCGTAGAAATATCTAATCTATCGACATTTTCTTCGAGGGAAGAAAAGAAAATTTTGATAAATTCAAAAAATTATTCGCGGGAGAAAAGATTTCGGCAGAAGAGATGGCGGAAAAACGAGCGCGGCATAGCGATGCAGACGCTGCACCCGGAAACGGTGCATCTGCATATCAGAGGCGCGATATACGTGTATGCGTGCACACGTATCGGGATGCTGGTGTCTGTACGCGTGTCGAATCGAAGCTGCATGTCACGTGAGGGGGATCAGCATGCTGGTCACGCGTGTCGTATAAACGTAACGAGTCCTTAAGCGTTCATTCATGCAGATAAAGGCATTGTTTAGAAAGGCGTCGCTGCAATGGTCGGCGTACCCTTTTCCGTTTGTTGGATACCGTTGGGAATTGAAACGCGTTTACGCGAGATCATCAGAATTTCCCGCGGATTAGGATTCGAAAAAAAAAAAAAAAGAAAAGAAAAGAAAAAATGGAGGCGAAACAAAATCGACGAAAAATAATTTTGGAATAAGTCAAATATCCATCTAACGTCGAATTAACGTCCAAATATTTGTGGAAGAATTTTCTATCATGAAAATTGTACGTACGTCTTTTTTTCGTTCGTATCATAAACGTAACGATGCAACGTGTAGATGTATATCTGTCGACGAGCATCGAAAACATTTCTTTTTTCTTTTATCATTATTATTATTATTACTTTCAAAAGATGTTCCTAAAAAAAAAAAAGAAAAAAAAAAAAAAAGAAATAGACAAAAGATGCATCGTCCGTCTTGAAAGTCGCAAGTTCGCGGCTCGATTGCGCTCGATCGTTCCGATCCCTCGATGCGGAATTTCGTGTCAAGGTCAGTCCACGTGTGCCGCGTGAGTCTGACATTTCATTGACATTTGTGCGAAACCCGTTTCGTTTCGTTTCGTTTCGCGATACGCGCGGCAAATTTGTCGGATATTTCGGATCACGCGAGTTTCCCGGACATCGCGGCCGATATCGCTTCCAGAGCTTCCAGTTGCAAGAAGCTCTCGTTCGATATCGGAGGAGAGGTGCCGACACGGACGTCGTGACCCGTCGTATTGCGAACGTTCGTTTCAAATACGTTACCTCTCCTGCCCGCTTGGCAACCGTTCAAAGGTCGCCTCGCGTTACCGTCCTCGCGTAAGAATTCGTGGAAAAGGGGGAGAGAGAAAAAAAAAAAAAAAAGAAAAGGAAAAATTCGAGATAGATAGCGAGTAGCGGTAGCTTTTGATCGAGCTCTTTGATCTTAATCTTGACATCGATCGTGAATTTGAATTGACCGTTAAAGTTTCGAGCAAACGCGACACATAAGAAGGGGGGAGGGGGATCGTAAGGAGAATTATAGATCGTAGAAACGATAAAATGGCGAACGTATCGGCAATTGATCCGATGTATTGGCAGGCGACTAAATCGTCTGGGTCTCGTCTGGGTAGCGGCGCGATTTAATTATAAATCTGTCCTGGTTCAACGGCATTTGTTCCAACTGTATCGTTGGATCATATCCGGATAGATTTCGGCTAGAATTTCGGGCGAATTTCCATGGAAGCG